GCCAAGCTCTGACTCATCCCGGCGCCCCCCACTCTCGGGCCTCCGGGCGCCGAGGCCTCGATCAATATTTGCGCGTTCGAATCGAGACACCTACTTCCTTCTCCCGGGACGCGAGGCTCAGACCCCTACTTTTTTTTTTTTTTATTTTATTTTGAAAAAGGAAGAAAGAAATCGCAGGAGCGCCCTTGGGACGGTGTTGGGGGAGGTGACCCTGCAGGAGCGGCTCCTGCCCCACCCGACAGCCGAACAGCTGGGACTGCTCTGGGCTGAAAGCTTACAGGCGGATGGGAACTCGGGTTGGATGAAAGTGAGAGTCCTAGATTTGCTCACAGCCGTCCCGACCCCCTCCCCACCCTCCCCAGCCCAAGCCCAAGTGCATGGAGAAGCGTAGCTGGGAAATGGCCAGCTGCCGGGATGAGAGGGCGGGCCCTTCCCCCCCTCCACACCCCCCACCCCCGCAGGACCCAGTGGGAGGCCGGAGATGTGCCCACCGACGGGAGGACCAGGAGAAAGGACAAGAGCCCTGACCCTGGAAGGCACAGTCGGCCAAACCGGGGAGACTCTCACCTTGTCGATGAAGGAAGCAAACTTGTTGTTGAGGGTCTTGATCTGCTCCTTCTCCTGGGTGCGCACCGCCTGGATGTTGGGGTCCACCTCCAGCTTAAGGGGGCTCAGCAGGCTCTGGTTCACGGTGACGGCTGTGATGCCACCGGCCCCTGTGTAGCCTCCACCCAGACCCAGGCCCAGGCCGGCGCCCAGGCCGCCCCGGAAGCTGCCGCTGCTGCCCACCCGGGAGAAGCTTGAGGAGCTGATGCGGGTGGCGGGCCCGCTGGTGTAGGAGCGACTGCTGAAGCCCCGGGGGCCGGAGGTGGACATCTTGTAGGACTTCTGGGTCACCCTGACGGACATGGCGGAGGCTGGAGTGGAGGCAGGCGGGCCGAAACAAGGGAGTAGCCGAGAAGGAGCCAAGAAGCTGCTTCGAGATGGGGCGAGAGCCCAGGGGTAGCCCTTTATAAAAGAAAACCTAGCCCGAAGGGAGGGGGAAAGGCCTCGTACCTGAGTGGCTAGGCCCCGAGAGGGCTGGGCCTAACCCGACACCTGCCACCTCCAGGCAGGACTCAGGTGGGGGCAGCAGAGAGCCGCTCCCTCACAGGAGCCGCCCCGGCCCCAGAGCCCACCCCAGCACGGCCCCAGAAGCCCAGAAAAGTGCAGTTCCGCGAATGCGCAACCCGGAGGGAGGATCCCGCCTGGCCTTGCACGCCTCCGGTAACAAGGAGACTTGCCTGGGGCCACCCGGCCACCTCGACCCTTACTCCTTGGGTCTTGTTTCCTTCCCTCCTGTGGGAGATCAACTGGGGACCAGGAGGCATGGCAGGAAAGGGTCCCTGGAATGTGGGTCTCCTCTGAGCAGCTGACCCCCCCCAAGACACCCTTCTTGTTCTCTCTGATTTAAGCGATTAGGAGGGCCTGCCCAGGCAGAACCACGGGGCCCCTGGATTCCAGAGCCTTGAATATGAGGTCAGCCATGTGCCTCATCATCTCTTCAGGTTACTGTTTGGACCCCAGCACCTGGTGCAGTGCCAAGAGGGGCCAAGATGAATATTTGCAGGATGAATTCATACACACACACACACACACACACACACACACACACACACACAGGCTGCCTTCCCTCTGAGCTGATAGGCACAAGATCAAGGGAGATTCAACACAGCGCTTTTTCTAAACATATCCCAGTGCCCTCTTCTCCTCCCAAGATCCCAGGATGTCCTGGGCCAGACTGAACACTGCAGGCCTCACAAGAGAGAGAATGAAGAACAACCAGAGACAGACTCAGCTGGGGAGCCTAGGGGGGAGCCAGCTGCAGTGGGTCTTCAGAGTCCTCATTGCTCTTTGGGGGACTCACTCTCACTGCCCCCAGTGAGTGAATCCCGGGAGGTGAGACAGGATGGAGCTGGGGGGAGGGCGAGTGGGGGGGCACTGGTGCCATCTGGACCCTCCTTCTCTTCTCCCAACGGGCCAGAGGAGATGGAGGAAGAGCCCCTGCACCTGTCTCCCTGATCCCATTATCGGAGTGAGTCAGGAGAGCAGGTTGGGACGTGGCACGCACCTGGCGGAGGCTGGAGAATGGGGAGCTGAGCAAGGCACCCCCAGCCTGGGCGAGGCCGGGTGTGGCAGGCTGTGGGTGGAAGGCAGGAGGTTTGGGTCCCCAAGGCACAGATTCCAGCTGCAGTTACAAACGGCTGGGCTGGGTTCTCTGGAAGATACTGCAGGGTGTGATGCAGGGACCAGGCAGAACTGAACCAGGGGAACGAACAGATGACAGACACCCAGATCACCTGGAGGAGGGGGAAGGGACAGGTGGCACACAAGCCCCAACCCAGGGAAGGGGGTGACCACCTACTAGGAGGACAGATACACAATTTCTACCCACCCTTCTCTAGGAGAGAACCCAAGTGCCCAGAAGAACAGGTATATAAGACCCCGAGCTCCTTCCTTGGGGGACAGACAGACATCTATAAATCCAAAAAGACAGACACACAGATAAGGTCTCACAGCACACGTGCGCACACACACACACACACAAGTCTCATTTTGAAATTCCTTCCAGAGACAAATCCAGAGATTCCAGAGAGGACACAATGGTCCCTCCCTACCCCCTTTTCTCCCCCACACCCAGGCCTGGCCTCCTAAGGCGCTCAGCTCGGAGCAAAGGGAGATCCAGGCAGGCCCTATTTACCCCAGGCCCTCCCCAGCCCCTTTAAACAATGCTTAATTTTCCGAAGAGTGATTTGAATGCAAGTCACCCCTCCCCAGCAAACACCCAAACCCAGCAGGGCTGAGAGACTTCTCCTTACAGAAGACCCAGGGAGGGGGAGGAATGGGCCAGGTGCCAAAGCTGGTGCAGAGAAGGCGGAAGGAGGGAGGGAGGGGCTGGTCAGACAGGTATGGCAGCCCTGGGAAGGACAGACTGTGTGCTTTCCCTTTCTCCCCTTCACCCACACTTTCGGAGGAACCTGGGGGAGCTCAGAGGTCCTGATCAGGGCAGCACGGAGAGCACAAAACCCAGAGACCCCCTGAAATCCCAGTCCCCTTTACTCTCAACCCGGTTCCCTGTTTCTAGGCATGTCTTTTGTTTAACATAAGGACACAGAGGACTGCAAGGGACCCTGTGGTATGCAGACCTAGAGCTCACCCAGCCTGGGGGAAGCCCCATTTTCCTGGGGCAGCCCAGAACAATCCAGGGCCAGAAGCGTTTGTGTCTCACTTGGCAGCTCTGAATTGTCCAAAGACCCTAGCCAATCCCAGATGCCCCCAGCCCAGCTCAGTGCAGGAGAAGAGGCCACAGCTGCCCTCTCCAATGGCCCCTTGTGGGATGGAGACCTCCAGGACTAGGGCCAAGTAGTGAGATGGAAAAGAAAAGCCCACTGGGGCGGGCCCACAGGTACAGCTCCTTGTAAGGCTGTCTCAGACCTCTTCGGTCTGCACCTGGCTGCCAGCCCAACAAAAGAGAATGCTTCTGTGGTGACTGTCCAGACCCAGAGGACTCTGGCTCAAACTGCCTTTCCTGGAGAGCAGAAGGGGGAAGGAGGAAACATCCACTCCCTGGGGGCCAAGGGTGGGAGCCAGCCCCCCTAATCCTGATAATGCAGGATGACTTCAGGAGGCCCCAAGGCCCTAGGCAAAGGTGTCAAGGCTGGGCCTGAGTGGGGTGAACAGAATAGCTGTTATCATCACTCACGATCATGGGAAGAGATGGTCCCAGAAGGTTTCTTAGTGATCGGAACTAGTGAGACAATGATCTCATTCTCAAAGTATTGTTCATAATAGCCAGAGCGGGAACAGCCCAAATGTCCACCAGCCGATGAATGAATAAACAAAATGTGGTCTATCCATATGATGGAATATTCCAGTAAAAAGTAATGAAGAGCTGGGCACGGTGGCCCACGCCTGCAATCCCAGCACTTTGGGAAGGTGGGAGGATTGCTTGAGCCCAGACCAGCCTGGGCAACATAGCAATACCTCATCTCTACAAAAAAAGATTTTTTAAATTAGCCAGGTGTGTGGTGGCATGGTGCCATGGCACTCCAGCCTGGGCAACAGGATTAGACCCCCGACTCCAAAAAGATGAAGTGAAATGCAGTCCTGGTGCGTATTACACTGCGATGAGCCATGAAAATATTATGCTATGTGAGCCAGTCACGGAAGGCCATGGACTGTGTGACTCCATTCATATGAAGTAGCCACAATAGGCAAATCCCATTGACATAAAAAATAGGTCCGTGGCTATGGAGGGGATAGGGGGAAATAGAAGTGAATGCTAAAAGGTATAAAAGTCACAATGTTGCTGGCATAGTGGCTCACACCTATAGTCCCAGTACTTTGGAAGGCTGAGGTGAGAGGATTGCCTGGGGTCGCAGGTTCGAGAGAGACCAGTCTGGGCAACTCGGTGAGACCTCATCTCTCCAATAAATCAAAAAATTAGTCGGGCATGGTAGTACATGCCTATGGTTCCGGCTACTTGGAAGGCTGAGGCAGAAGGATCTCCTGATCTCAGCAGGTCGAGGCTGCGGTTGGCCGTGAGCATGCCACTGCACTCCAGCCTGGGCAACAGAGTGAGAGTGAGAATCCAACTCAAAAAAAAAAAAATGTCACAACGTTTCTAATGTTCTAAATGTGGTGGTGGCGAAGTCGCACAAGTCTGTGAACATATTAAAAACCAGTGAACTGAGGGGGGGAGATGGGATTAACGGTAGCAAATATCTGTCTGGGGATGGGGAAACACCTCTTATCAACAAGGGTGCCTGAATGAAACGTATTTGTATACCTAACCCTTAACTGTATCCCACAATATCATAATAAAAAATACTGATTATTAAAAAAAAAAACAGTGAACTGTGTGCTTTAGATGATTGAATTATAGGGTATGTGAATTACAGCTCAACAAAGCTGTTACCAAGAAAAAGATACCACTAAAGCATAAATTAGCTACACATAAAAAGCAGGACATAAGGCCAGCACAGAGGTCAGGGGAAAGTAGGGAAGCAATTTTTTTTTTTTTGAATTGGAGTCTCACTCTTATTGCCCAGGCTGGAGTGCAGTGGCACACTCACAGCCACCACAGCGTCGATCTGCTGGGCTCAGGCGATCCTTCTGCCTCAGCCTTCTAAGTATCCAGAACTACAGGCATGGGCTTCCATGTCCAGCTAATTTTTTGGTTTATTGTAGAGATGAGGTCTCACCAAGTTGCCCAGACTGGTCTCGAACCTGTGACCTCAGGTAACCCTCTCACCTCAGCCTCCCAAAGTGCTGGGATTATAGGCCTGAGTTGCCCAGGCTGGTCTCAAACCTGTGGGCTCAGTCAGTTCACTCACCTAGGCCTCCCAAAGTGCTAGGATTACACTGAGCCCGGCCGGCAAGCATTTGTTTAGATTCCTTAAGTCCAGAGACTCCCTATCACTGGGTTAGGTCAATGCTCCAAAAGTACCAAAATCCCTTTAAAAGATATTTTTATTTTTCAATCTTTTTTTTTTTAATCGGGGTTGTGCTTTGTGGCCCAAGCTGGAGTACGGTGGCATGATCATGGCTCATCACATCCTCAACCTCCTGGGTTCAAGTAATCCTTCTGCCTCAACCTCCCAAGTAGTTGGGACTACAGGTGCACGTCATCACATCCAGCAAATTTTTGACTTTCTCTAGAGATGACGTCTGGCTATGTTGCCCAAGTTAGTCTCAAACTCCTAAACTCCTGGGCTCAAGCAATCCTCCCACCTCGACCTCCCAAAGTACTAGGATTACAGTCATGACCCACCACACCCAGTCAAGATGGACAATTTAAAATGTTTTTGTTGGCATAGAAATAGTTAAGTTTAGTATTGAGGCAACAGGAACAATTAGTTTAAATAGGAAGCCACAGATGGTGGGTAAGCCCTTCAGTAAGCCACAGCATGAATAATAAAGTTGATTTATTGCTG